TTGTTTGTCTCTGTTTCTTCAGAGTCAGGACTCTGGGTCTGACAATCACATAAACACAGTGAGCCTCAAAGAAGCACTGGAAAGGTTTGATAACAGCCCCACACCTTCTGCTTCCTCCAGGAGTTCAAGGAAATCTTCGCATACTGCAGTATCAGATCATTCATGTAAGCACTAACTGTTGAAACTGTAATTGCCTTCTTAGTGAAGGCTTTCTGTGATATATTAATTAGATACATGTCTAGCAGTTAATTATTGTTTTATTAAAAGTATGTCAGTGAAAATGTCCTTTTCAGCAGTTGAACTGATAGTTCTAAGATATACTGGCTGTTCATTTTTTCAGAGTTTGTGTAATGACTTTTACTTCTAAACGTACAATAGCAGCTCCAGAGCATCGTATTTCAGTCCGTCAGATTACGTTATTATCAGATATTCAGACTAAAAATTGCAAGCCTTAAGGCTTTTTATTCAGGAAAAGCTTTATGCGATGTGAGTACTGTGTTGCAGAATGGAGACTATTATTAACGTGTCTCTTTGTTTTAACTGTGACCATTGTCAGCAACGCCAACTAAAATGACAGTGGACACTAGCACTCCTCCAAGGCAAAGTTTATCTGCTCATGAAAAGACTGCACAAAGAAGATCATCTCTTAGTAGTCAGGTAACTTAGAAGAGAAATATTGTGATATTTAAAGCAATATAATTCACATTTAAAATATTCTGTTAAATCCATGTAAACTACTTTTTTTTTTTTTTCTGAAAAAATACAGAGTTTAAACTCTAAAAATCTCACTTGGGGAACTCGACTCTCAGAATTATCATCAATATATAACTTCAAATTATTACAATTTAAGGGAGTACTATAATTAAGCATATACTCATGTTAATTAAATGAAGTATTTATTTTTCAAGTGTTAGGGTTTGCATACTTGAGTCTGAATCTGTGCGCTCATTCTCACATAGCTTCTTTAGAGGATTCTGTATTTTTATATAAATAATTGTCAACATAATACTGTGTGTCCCTATAGAGAATTCTTATAGATATATGCTTTTCATAATATCAGCAAATACTTTCATATAGTTTCTGAAATCTTGGTAATGTAAGAAAATAACATGCATCCTGCATTTGGTGCTCATACTTGAATTGAATTAATGCGTTCGCTTCAAAGATAGTTTGCTTATTAAAATAGACATTGTTTAAATTACTAGTTTAAAAATAAATCAAAGTGTCAGCTTTAAAAATGGTTGGAAAAATATTTGCCCTTAATACCAACAAGAAAGTTTTAAACAATTGTAATAGCAATTTATGTTTTTGCTGTTTTACACCTACTACTTTTAGCAGTGAAACGAGAGATAATCTGTATAATCAATTGCTCTTGTGTGTTCTTAATGCTGTAATATTTAGGGTTAGACATTTCAGGAAACACCTGTCTTTATCCTATATTCATATTACGCTATTTTAGAAATGACACTTTCTATAAAGAAATACGCTGTGAAGTTCATTCTCTTCCACTAATACAACAATTTTTTAAATCCTAGTCTTTAAGCTCCCAGTCACTTGGACAACCACTAGCGCAGCCAGTGATGTCTCAGCCTGCAGCTTTACAGCTCCAGCCCGGCATGTCCCAGGTATGCATTAAGCTGGTTTATTAATTGACTGACTTTTTAAAAAAGATCTTGTTCCTGAATATAAGGTTAACTTCTCTTTCGCTGAATTCTTTGAGCATTTCCTTTGTGCTCTCGTCACCTTTAATATTATTCTCATGAAATGAGCAAATTTCCCATTTTTGAAATTTTCCTTTTCTCTTTTTCTTCTCACTGTTTTGTGGAAATAGTTGTTTTGGCCTTGGCCGTTAAGAACATAGACGTAAAAGCAATTTAAGAAGAAATGTTTTAGGGTATGAATTTGGAGTGCCTGTACTACACCTATACCTTTCCATGCACGTGCTTGTAATAGAACACAACTTAGTCTATGAAATACTTCTATGAAATAAGAACAGCTGTATCAGGACAGACAGAAGACCTCTCTGTATCCTTGAGGGTACATATAGGTGTCAAGAGGTTATGTTGACTTACAGCCAGTTACACTGACTTGTAGCTTTTTATTGAGTCTTGGTTATTTGGATGCTGGTCAATGTCTTCTGCTAAGGATTTTTTTCTTTTTTTTTAATTCCCTAATTCTGGTGTATCGATTAAATACGACATAAATTAAACACAAGTTCTGTGACATTTTTATACTAATGAGTTTGTCCTTAGATGTTTGCTAGCAGTTTAAAAAACAGTGCTTGCTTTCTCTGCTACTGTGGAGGATACCGCTTGTAAATCAAATGTAATTATTTTTTGTTCAGCTTTTAATTTATACATGGTACTACAGCCTGTGTTTCAGTTTTCAGCTCAGTTAGGAGCTATGCAGCATCTAAAGGACCAGCTAGAGCAAAGAACGCGCATGATAGAGGCAAATATTCATCGGCAGCAGGAAGAGCTGCGTAAGATTCAAGAGCAGCTTCAAATTGTCCATGGTCAAGGACTCCAGGTGAGTTAGCTTAACTCTTATGGGTTAGATCTGTAGAGAAGTTGGGGGTCTAAAATAGGACTCTGGCATTTAATTCTGAAATGTGATCCTCCCTACCCTCTGTCAGTTGCCATCTGGACCTGATGTGCCTAAAATCCATAGCATCTGAAGTTTTGTACAATACGGTTGCTGAGGTACCTTCCATCTTGCATCTGAGTGTATCCAGAAGTGCCCTAGTGTATCTTTTCAACCCTGAGTGGCTCAAGCCTAGCTCATGCCTAAACCTAAACGTACAAGAACGTAGTGGTTGTCACCCTTAAATAGGTTTGCAGCCATTAGATTATTCACTCAAAATGCACAAGAAGAGCATTTATCTCCCTTTTTAGCTTGAGGGGTTCAAATTCATACCTCTTGTTTCTTAGGAGATTGTCCTTATCATCAGGCTGTGGCCCTCCTACCCACCCTCCAGATGAAGTGATTCTACTTTGTAGGCAAACTGCAGTAGACATTGAGCCAGAAAGATGGAAAGTCAAGAGGACTGACTCATTATTCAGTGACTGAGAGTGAGAAAGACCTGACCGCCTGAGTTGTGTATTTTAACAGATACTCGTTTTTCTAATTTTGTCATTTGTTCAGCAGCCAGCTGTGGAAGATAATAATGACCCTACTGGGTGTTTCTAGTTTAAAAAAAAAACCAAAACAAAACAAAATATGCCATAAGGAAAGAATCTAAATATTTTTATTATAGGTTGTGGATGAAGAGCAGAAAAATTTCCTTCCTGGAAGTAATGAGTATATTGCTTAAACTCAGAGGAGTAGGAGTTTCTGGCACGTGCTATTTTCAGTATTTTATCATGTCTAGTATATGTCTGCCAGCAGTAGACTGCCTTATAGGTGCCTCACAATGGGAGATTGATCTCTTCCTGTGCGTTGTGGAAGAACCTTCTTCAAGCCTGTGGAAGCTAGGGACCAGTATCTTAAGTGCTGCACTTTCTGTGCATATTTACATCATATTACCCTCTGTCCCTTTGCAGTCTTGGGCCTGACTTTTTGTAAAGCCTCAAATATTTTTGTGCTGAGCTCAAGCTTATTAAAATGGGATGATGCTGGAAAAGTAATCAATATGGTTTCCTGATTACCAAGGAAGATTGCATTCTCTGTGTTGTACCTGGATCTATCAGTTCTGACATTGTTCTCTTCATTTGAACTTGTTTAACTGCTGTTTAACTACAGATAGAAGCCTGATCTCTAATCAGTTTTGTCTTTAGACAGATATGGACTTCATTACAAGTGGGGTCTCTAAATAGTACTTTTTCTTTCAGAACAAATATTAAACCTCAATGTTTATCTGAAATTAAGGATGATTAATTTTTGTCCTATCTCTACCAGTTATAGTAGAGTGTCTGAATACTGACCCAAGAAGGGAGTCAGGCCTTTTGCTCTTAATGGTTACAGTGCAGTCTCAACATCTCTTATAACTAAGATGAAATATGTTTTTGATCTTATATTTATTTTAAAATAATTAAATGTATTTCTGTAACATCTTGAACAACTAACAAATTTTTTTTAAAGCTAACTTGTGGAATTAATTTTTGTTTTTTTAGATGTTCTTGCAGCAATCAGCTTCTGGACTCAACTTTGGTTCTGTGCAGCTTACTTCTGGAAATTCTTCAAACGTTCAGCAACTTACACCAATAAACATGCAAGGTCAAGTTGTTCAGACTAATCAGATTCAAGGTGGAGTGAACACAGGTCATTTAAGTACTCCGCACATGATACAGCAACAGCCTTTGCAGAGTACAGCAACACAGGTAACATTCTCATTAGTGAATTCGCTGGATGGAACATACACTCAGAATCAGAGCTGAAACAAGATATTTGTTTCCCTCGGTGCCCCCCTCCCCAAATATTAGAACAACGTCCATTGAAATAATTGGAAACATGTTCATTTCTTCATATTCCAAATTTTATAGTTGAAGTGCATTTCTGTTCTTGCTAGTACAATTTCAGATCTTGTCATTTTATTTTAAACCTACAATTTAAATAATGTAACAGGTAGCTTTTTGGAAAGACTGCTATCAAAAAAGTTTTTAGCTTGCTCTTCTTTGAATTTTTGTGAATTTTCAGTTGACGGAACACATAATGTGATAATATTTGTACCAAGTGAGACTGAAACCCAGTGTTCTGGCAGTGGTCAACAGCAAACGCCTAGAAAAGCATAAGAACAAGACAAGCATATGGTGGTGCCGCTGCAGCTGGCTTTACTACTCTTCAGCAGCTTTAGTCAGATGCTATAGGTGACAGCATTGCCTTTGGATTTTTCTTCTATGAGTTTATCCAATTTATTTTTGATTCCATGTAAACTTTTGAAATCCACGGTATCTTGTAGCGAGTTATACAGCTTTATTTACTTCTGACAAATATATGGTTAGGGTTATTTGTGGGTGGGTTGGTTTGCTTGATTTTTTTTTTTTTTTTTTTTTTTTTGAACCTTCCACCCAGCTCTTCTACTGGAAAATATACGGAGTGGTATTCACTTTCCACCTTCTCTGTGCCATACATGATTTCAAAGACCTCTGTCATACATATCTCCATAGAAGCCTCTTATTTCAAGCTGGAGAGCTCTAACTGGTTTGGTCAGTTTGTTTATGGAGGCTGTTCATGCTTCTGGTCTTTTTCAGTGTCCTCTTACCCAAGTTCCATACTATCTTCTTGAGATTTGGGAAGAGCAGAACTGCATTGCCAGTACTTAAGCTAAAGGTGGACTTAGAAATTTCATAATTTATTCTGTGTTCTTTTCTTAACAAATCCAGTGTTAGAATATTTTTTGATTGCTCCTGAGTGAAGGTGTCTGCATAGAATTGTATACTGTAACCCCAAGATCTTGCTCCTAGCCAGCTCAGAGCCCTTGTGCCTCACTTTATTTATCCATGTTGGATTTTATAGCATTCTGTGTCCAGCCATTCAGAACTATAAAGTTGTTCTGTAGTTCTTCACAGCTGATGCTCATTTCTACTATCTGGAATAGCTTTAGTGCAGCCAGCAAGCTTGTTCATCACCCCATTTACACTCCATTCACACTATCTATGGATATGTTAAACTCTGGAAATCGAAGAAAGCAGGTATCACAGTATCTCTCTGGTTAATGTGCTCTTTGGCTCCTTTAGAAAAAAACAATACTTGAGACTTGACTTCCCTGTGTAAAGACTATGATCCACTTCAGTATACCAGATTTATCAACAGATTTCATTGTGACCCGCCTGGATTTCAATCCATAGGGACTCTAGCTTTATATGGTTAGTTTGCTAATCTGACTCTTTCCTTTCTTTAACATATGACGTCGTTTGTTCAGTGGCATGGTCTTTTCTTGTATACTCAGCATTAATTAGTGTTAAGCCACTGATTTGGCTTCTGTCAGCATATTTATATTCCAGTTGTTTATTATGTCATTTTCCCTGTTTTAAATATTTTGTTCTGCATGTTGTTGCTCAAACTTTTAATATTTGCGTAAAAACACAGGTAGACTTGTTTTTGTATTTCTGTGCCATGTTAAAATGGGAGTCCTTTCTAACTGTTCTTAACTACTTCCTTTTGACAACTTGTTCCTATCCCTATTTGAGGTTTCAGAGTTCATGACTTCTCCTCTAAAGGATGCATCAACTTAAACCACACAACTATCCTGCAGCTGTTAACTGTTCTCCATTTTTCAGTTTTAAAATCTCTTCCATGACCTTCTTATATTTAGAAGTGTGAATTAGTTAAAAAACTGTTTAACTCTAAACTTTTTGATTAGATTAGTGCAACTTTTAAAAACCTATCTGGATTCTGCTCCTACTCATGACTTTTTTTCTTATTGTGGCAGAACAGTGCTGATGTGCCATGGAAGAAACAATCTTGTAAAAGGGTTCTCCCCATCAGACCCCAGTTCAATGGAAGAGGCAGGCTGTAGGGGTGGACGGTTTATCAACTTCTGGTTAAGCTAGTTCCAAACTTTGAAGTATGAAGTTGATTGAGGAGGTGTGCATGTTTTAGACTAAGCGTGGCACAGAGATGCTAAAGGAGCGGAAGACTGGATCATGAACAAACAGGATGCAAGTAACTGAAAAATTCTGAAAAAATATCCTTAAGAGAGGGGGGAAGGTTAATCTAAAGAAGTTTTCAGACATCCTAGGCCAGTCCCACTTCCAAATTGGCAATCAGTAGAAATACCTGTCTTGCTTTAAATTAGGAATTCATTTAGAATAGGAAAACATTGGCAGTTGTAAAGTATGGGCAATGACAATGAGAAGAACAGCTGTAATACCTGATGTTGCTTTTAGTTCCTTTATAAAAATAGCCTTGCTTAACATTAATGGTGTCAATTATGGGGTGGGAAAAGAACTTTAAAAAAATGTGTGCATTCCTTCTGTTAGTGAAAAATCTAAAAACATTTTGAATTAAAAGCAATTTTGAATTTTTTAGTCATGAAAACTTCGTAGCAATAAGACGTGAATGACTGTGATTTTAGAGATGTGAATAAAATTATGCTACAGCTGTACTTCCAAATAAAATGTTATCATCTTCGTGGTATTTCTTTTTAGGTGCTTATAGCTATTTTCAAATGACTAATTTACAAAATATTTTTCTTTGTCAGCATAATCAACAAAATGTAGTTGGTGGACACAGTCAACAGTCTTCTCTTGCCAGTCAGTCACAGAACGCACTCTCGGCCCCTTTGTATAACACTATGGTGATTTCTCAGCCGACAACAGGAAACGTGGTCCAGATTCCTTCAAGCTTACCACAGAACAATAACCAGAATGCTGCTGCAGTAACCACTTTTACGCAGGATAGACAGATCAGGTAAGTCTTGAAGGCTGATACTCAAATGACTTGCTGTAATGGTATGGTTAAGTAGCTATGTCGTATTCAAAAAGGACAAAAGTAACATTGAAAAAATCACGTGGTTTTAACTCTCTTAACTACGTGTACAGTACAATAGATATAGCTGTTAAACTAAGTTTTGCCCAAAATAACGTGTTCTCAGGTTTAGCAAAACAATTGGTGTTGCAGCAAGAAATAAAACTGACAATCAAAACCTGCATTTTTCAACTGCACCTGATGCTTGATTTTGGGGAATTTCTTTAGGAAAGAAATAAAATATTCTTTTTCCTTTATCAGATTTTCTCAAGGTCAGCAACTTGTAACAAAACTTGTCACAGCCCCAGTAGCATGTGGAGCAGTAATGGTACCAAGTACTATGTTTATGGGACAGGTGGTGACAGCTTATCCCACTTTTGCTGCCCAACAGCAGCAGCCACAGACTTTGTCAATAACGCAGCAGCAGCAAAGTCAGCAAGAACATCAGCAGCAGCTCACCACCGTTCAGCAACCAGCTCAGCCGCAGCTGACCCAGCACCCTCAACAGTTCCTACAGGTAATGCAGCATTCTCTAGAAACTTTCTGAAGTACTGACGCTTTCAGCATTGTTAGCTTATCCTGGAGGTGCTTTATCTGAAAACATGGTGCTTAAAACAACCTCTGAACAAGCCTGATGCATGAGATAAGTTTATTTGGTAGACATTCTGTAAAATCCTACCACCTTTAAAGCGAGGTAGTCTATCCTGTAGTTTCAGTCCCTGCTAGGTCCTCTTTTATATCTTCTTCATCCCTACATTAATTGCTGCTCTTCACTGAGCACTAGACAAAGGAACAGGTCTTTTAAAACACCCTGCATTTTCTTTCTAGTCATATAGTAATGCAAGAAAGTGTGAGAGAGGGTCTTGCACAGAATTGCTTGTTTGGGAAGCAGCATGCAGCTGAAGGCAAGGCATGTCCCCATAAGCACGTGGGACATAACATCTAGGCTACAGGGCTGGCTGAGCAGCAGGTAACCTGACGGTTTAAGTGGGAAAAGAGAAAGAGAAAATGGATCAAAAGAGAAGGATGGCAAAACTCAAGGTGTTTAGAGAAAAAGGAAATGCCTCAAAAAAGGGGAGGAGGAGGGGAAAAACAGAAAGTAGGCAGAATTCAAAAGCAAATCTGTTTCTATTTGTTGATTTAACTTAAACACTGGGACATAGCTCACACAGAAGGTAATGCTGATGAGGGAGATACACTGTTAGCTTAGAACATTAGAGAGGAATTGCCCCCAAAAAGGGGTGGATTACAAATCTCAGTTTGGCCTCTATAGTGTTCCTTCACCAAAGAAAGCTCTAAAAGCCATGCAACTCACTATGTAATTTCTGTACATTCTTAACATTCTTAAAGTACTCTGGGAATTTCAGATTTTTTTCTCTAAGAATATACATAATTTAAAATTTTTATTTTGCAGTAAGTGTTTATTCTGCCCTACTATGTGCAGTCTCCCTTTTGCACTGAATGTGAGGGGTCCTGTGTTAAGGGGGAATATATGCAATGCAGTAGATAACTGGAGACTGAACTTACCTTTATATGCAGAAGGAATAGTTCAAGATCTGTTTAGGGCTGAATCAAATTTTCTTTGACTGGGTCACTGACAGAAAATACTGCCTTGTTGAAAAAAAATTTTCATAGGAATATAACTATTTCAGTCATGCATCAGGCAAAGTATTTTCAGCTGTGAGCTGAAATCTCTAATCAAAGAGAGAGCTGAAGGATAGCTAGTGATTTGTATTTGAGCTCTCATTTATGTAGTGGGAGACTGAGATTCTTGAGCTGAATTGAACCACAGCACAGATTTGAATGTGATCTCTCATACCACGGATAAATATTATAACAAGCAGGCTATTCACAGATAGAAGGTCTCTGGATCTCTGCTTTTTAAATTAAAAAGCTTGCAGAGTTCTGACTTCATTCTGATGAAAAACAGATTTGTAAAACCTAACAATCTCCAAAGATCCGTTCTGCTCCTAGAATTTCTTTCTAGGCAGAAGTTTAGGTTTCTAATTCAATTACTTAAGTGCTAGAGTTTAAATAAACAAATACTTTTTTTTTTTTCTTCTCTCTCCCTTCTTTAAAAGGAGAAAAGGCTGGTGCTGTTCCTGCCTCTGCTCACTGGGGCTTCTTGCAGTCAAATTCTGTAGGTGCCACAGCTGATGTAGTTTACTTCCTAATCCAGAACTGTTCTTCTGGACTGAGACATTCAAGTGTATTTATACTCATCCTTAATTGCTTTTCTTAAATACCATCATTTTTGGGGTCTAAGAGGATTAAAATTAAGAATAAGTACTATTGGAGATAGCATTTAATCTCCTTCAAAAGAGGTGTTTGGATCTACAGATGTGGCAGAGTTTCTTTGATTGCTTGCTTTGACTTTGGGGGAGAAAGTCATGCACTATGTTTTTCATTTGACTGCAGTGACAGCCACCTGGACATGTTAAAACTGCTTCCCTGAGCCCTGTTAGGCTCCTGTGATTCTAAATGGAGATAAAACTGCTATGTGTTCCTATCCATGGTCACTGGCAATTACAAATTCAGTTACAATTGCTTTATCAACTGGTCAGATGCTGAAAATACTGTTTTCTCTAATTAGGTGTATTAGCATGAATTAATCTTTGCATTATTTGTTCAGTGTAAGTGACCAAAGCCAGAAAATTATTTAGATTGAACCGAACCCTTATGAAAAGCTAAAACAAAAAACAAAAAAACAACAACAACAACAACAAAACCAGCCAGGCCTGCGTTTCTCAGTGCAGCAGGGAAAATGATTTTTTTCTGTTTGCATGCTTTAGACATCCAGGTTACTTCATGGAAATCAGTCAGCGCAGCTTATCCTTTCTGCTGCTTTCCCACTACAACAAAGCACTTTTACTCAGTCCCACCACCAGCAGCATCAATCTCAGCAGCAGCAGCAACAGCAACTTTCCCGGCACAGAACTGACAAGATGACTGATCCTTCCAAAGTTCAGCCGCAATAGCAGGGGCTCTGCTTCTTTTTGAAGCAAACTACCAGGAGGGGCTGTTCCATAAACAGTTGCACTGAGGCTACAAAGCTAGAAGTACGAAGGCTTTCTAACACCACAGTATTGAGATCATCTAATTTCTGGAATCTGTTAAAGAGAAGCCGCAAGATGAGGATGGGGCCTCGTAGTTGCCCCAGTTTCTGTGTTCAAAAGGATTTGCTGCCATGTGTTAGTTTATCCAGGTGAAATCTCAAGTTGTGACTGAAATGAGAGGGATGCTGAAAATATCGGTATTTTTTATCAGTCCTGTAAATTTTTGAAGTGTTAAAATGGACATGGAGCAATTGTTTGAATTAGCTGACAATAATGCCAGGAAAATAGTCCAAAAAAAATCTAATTTTTTCAGATAACTATGGGACAGTAAATTTTTTCAAAATGTTGTGTGAAATCCAGGTCTCTGTTGTACAGATGCTGTAAAATATTGTGTATATGTCTGCATAAAAGGAGAAAGAGCAAAATATTTTATATGATGCATGAAAACGTAATCTGTTATTTGTAGGTTTGAATATGTTTCCCTGAATTCTCACACCATACTCAGACTAATGTTTTCTTCTGTTCTAGCCTTTTGTTTACAACATGATGCATCATTATTTTCGCCTTTAATGTGGGCACAAGTCTCTCGTTCGTGCTTTGTCTGTGATGTCGCGGTTTGTTCGGTGAGGTATAGTGTGTCCGTTAGTTGACTTCTCGAGGTTAAATTATTGATGAAGCTGTTCGAACTGGTGATCACGCATCAGGGTTCAGAACATTCAGATTCATGAATATCATCAATCATTTCTTAATCAATTCATCGTTTTATTTGGAAAATAGGAATTTGCACTGCTTTCCTGCGGATGGTTTGGAATTTTACTCCCCAAAGTTATCTTTTGATATAGTTCATAGTTGGAAATATTTATGTAAAAGGTATAAAAAGAAAAAAAGGCAGTAATTTTCAAGAATGTTTCAGTTATAGGAGTAATTTGCACAAAAGTATCTTTACATTTAATAACCTTTTGGGCACTTTTTAACCACTTTCTCTGTGGTGAGAATTGTAACTTGTTAAAATATGTTGGAATCTTTTTATTCTCCTTCCAAAATTAGACCTTTCTTTAGTCAGAACTGATTCAGGGTCATTTTAACAACAAAAAACCCCATAGTGCCTTGATTTTAATTCAGGTGATAATGTTGAACATCTTGAATTACAGTGTCTTGAATCTGTAACCATTTTCAATTTTGAAGTCTTAGTACATTGTCGGCCTAACTTGTGTATCTACTTCATAGCTATTTCTGTACTGTGTTCATTGTAGTAATGGTCTGAGTTGAGATCACGAGCGTTTCTGAGAGGCCCTCCCCCTCAAACACTAATCTCACAGAATACTCTCTAAAATCTCGGACCTTGAGGGTAATACTCTTTTTAATAGATCTAAAATAGATGTTACTCCTTTTGCAGGAGCAGGAATAGTAATCTGATTTTTTACAAAAAATTTTTTAGTTTTTTGGCGTTTAAAGTATGTGTTGGGGGAGATCATGATTGCATTTAACACTACCAGGCTATTGATTTAAGAGATATCACTGAACTAAGACTTCAGAGGGCAACTTCACTCTGTAAAGATAATAAAAAGATCCAACAGATAAGATGTGCTATTTTAAGTAAATGTTAAGTAGATTTTTATGGTACTAGTTTGTGAAAAAGACAACTTCAGAAGAAAATGAATAAATGAAGGTAGATCTGATAATTAAAAGAAACAACAAAAACCAGTTGAAATTAGTACTAGGGAGAGAAAGCTGGATTAATCTTGAATACTGAGGAGAAGTTGAATGAATGTAATCAAAAGGCAATGGACTATTTTATATTATGAAACAGTGTGATTGTATTATTGGTTGAACCAAACCCACAGGAAGGTAACACCAGTTTAGCAAGCATTTGGTAAGACTGGTTACCTTTTAAGGCTAGCCATTGCTGCTGCACTTGTCCCTCCATTAGGTCTGTGTTATTCCCCAGCTATAAAGCAAGAGTTTGGCACCAAAAAGCACAGTAGTGAACAAGGAAGGAGAGTGTGAGAAATACAGTACCAAAGAGAACCTGGAGCAAGAAATAGATGCCAATACCAAACACAGCAAGGAACAATTGCAGTTCTTTAAAGGGATTTCTGGCGTTCTCTGAGCTGGAATAATTGTCAGAAACCCCTTTCTGTAAAGTTTTGTCTAAAGAAATCTTGCCTTGCTCTACTATGCCTATCACACCATTCCACCTATGTCTAAACTAAGCTGCATTGACTAGAGGTCTGTGCTATCAGTACTTTTGCTTAATAAAAAATAGCTTAGATAAAATTTTTAACCAATTACAATAATAATCTAGCACTAAAAAAGAAAACTGGGAGAGCTTTAATAGTGCTGTTAGAACTATTGAATAGTGGTAAAATAGGTTGAATAAGCTATTACACTGAGAATTAAAAAAAAAAAAAAATACTAGCCAGACAGTTGAATAATGCAGCTTTTTATCTAAAGCTTCATTTAAACTTCACTTCCCCTCTCCCCCTCCCCAGCTGTTCTGGTGTGCTGCTATAGATCTGTCAGTAAAAAGGCTAAACCAGGTGAGAGAAGTTAGATGATGAGAATAGCATGGCTACTGGAAGAGAACTATAGAAATGTATGCTTTGATCACGAAGCTTTGTGTAACCTCAGAGAGAGGTCATTCAGTTAGAACTACCAGCTAATAGAGAAAAGTATAGAAGATGGGGAAATTCAAAGAAACTGGAAAAATATAGCATGCATTTGGAAACATTCCTACCATGAATCAGGCAAACTTTTATTAAAGAAAAAAAAAAAGTGAGTACATAGTCCCTCACCCAGATTCTGTGCAAGGATGCAGATGCTTTGTTTGACAGGTAACAACTAAAAGATTTATATGTCAAGGGTCTGTGGCTTCTCCTACTAGTCGACTGCTAAACTGTCCTTGATTTTTAGTGGGAAGATGACCGGACTCTTTCCTCTTTCTTAATCAGCCTTTTGCTTCTGCCTGACTTTTTTATTACAGTCATAAGACTTATTTGCAACATCCTAATAAAGAGTATGATAATGAATGCTGTGATGCTGCAGGTTGTGGAGAGTGAACGTTATGGAATGACTACGACAGAAGGGAAGGAGTTGGTTAGGGAGAGGATTGTATTCATGAAGAAATGCTCTGATGACAATAATGGAGCGAAAAAATACAGCATACCTGCCTGACAGTGAGAAGACAGAAATTGTTTGCCTGTGATGAGTGAGGATTTGAAGAAAAGCTTCTAGGATAATTTCAGAGAAAAAGAATATAGTTATTTTTATATTATATTTAATATATATTATATTTGTATATATATATGAAAGGATTCTAGTAGGAGCTCTCCATATGCCTTCCATTTCATCTAGAAGGTTCACCTTCTGCACTACGGTTCCAGTGTGTCACCACCTTTTGTGGGCATCTCGCCTACTGCCAAACACCAAAATTAGTAACCCAGTATCCTTACAGCAGATAGGTCTCATTTCAGCTTTATATAAAAATAAATACAATACAGCTCTATCAGGCAGTTTTTCACAGAAATTCTCTGAAGAGTCAAATAGCACTTTCTTTTCCTTTTTTTGGAGTAATAACAAGCACTTTACTGATATGAAGAAAAGCTTCTACGATAATGTCAGAGAAAAAGAATATAGCTATTTTTATATTATATTTAATATATATTATATTTGTATATATATATGAAAGGATTCTAGTAGGAGCTCTCCATATGCCTTCCATTTCATCTAGAAGGTTCACCTTCTGCACTACGGTTCCAGTGTGTCACCACCTTTTGTGGGCATCTCGCCTACTGCCAAACACCAAAATTAGTAACCCAGTATCCTTACAGCAGATAGGTCTCATTTCAGCTTTATATAAAAATAAATACAATACAGCTCTATCAGGCAGTTTTTCACAGAAATTCTCTGAAGAGTCAAATAGCACTTTCTTTTCCTTTTTTTGGAGTAATAACAAGCACTTTACTGAAAAGACTATTTGGAAACAGTTTATTTCTTTAGGCAGTGAAACTGTTAAAAAGGGGGGCATCAAGGCATAACATGCATAAAACTGTCAAGAGAGACATTTCTGGAAAATGTTTCTTTAATATGGTGGTCCTTTGAGGCTCAAAGTGCAAGATTAAAAGGCTTCTAAAACTGGTTGGCTTTGTGTTTTAATATGGCTACGGGAAAGGCCCGACGATAATAGCGTCCTTTGAAGGAGACTTTTTAAGTTGCACAGTTGCCTATGAGAGAATCATCTGGAGGCTCATTTGCCTGTTCAATAATCCTAAGTGTCCCTTAGGATTATAATTTGCATGAAGATGTACTGAAGGTTTACAGATGTGGCCTTTTTGAATGTTGAAGATAATTCAATAACTGTTTGTATTTTTGGAGATTTAACCCAGGTATTGTTATGAGTGTGTTAAATGTCCTGGCATCAGGAGATGCCAAACATGTCAGATTCATAATTTTCTCTGTTTGAAATTGTTATTAAAATGATGTACAGTCAGAGGGCTACAAAAATGGTTATTTTGATTAAAAGGGAAAAAAGAGACTAGTTTTAATAATTTTTATTTTTTTATGTATCCCTGGTGGAAAAAGTTGAAAAGAATTTGAAGCGAATTTGGATAAAAAAAGACATATTTAAACAAATTGTAGTAGATGAGACAACTGTGAAAGAATGTTTGAAATTGTCTTGGTTGTCCATGAGACTGGGTAGTTGCTTTTTCAGTATCATGATTTTTTAACACTACATTCCTTGTCTCTCTCTCTCTCTCTCTCACTCGCTCGCTTTTTTTTTTTTTTTTAAACAGGTAATTTTAGGCTCTGCTATGCTTCATGCTGTCATCTGCATGAATTTTGCCAGCATGAAATGCTATATTCAAAGAAATTTTACCTAAATAAAAAGGAGGGGAAAAAACACAAAACAAAACACTGTGTCTGAACAAAATACTGTATGGCCTAATATAGAGACCCCAGCTAAGACTGAGAGGTGCTGCACTAATAGACAATCAACGGAAAGTTATTTATGAAACACTTTTGGGAATGGTCTTAAAGAAGTTACTGCTTTGAAAGCAGGTTTTTTTTTTTTTTTAAACAAGAAAGGTGAAAAGTATTTATTTTAAAATATATCAGATTGAACTTTTGAGTTTTTAAGCAGTGTTGATTTCACAGTGTCTTGAGTTTCAGTTTTGTTTTGTATTTTTTAACTGGCATTACAGTTGTGTGCATTTTAAAAAAAAATAGTGCCGCTCATACTGACGTCAGGAGATGTAGATACAATTCCCTGGTGTTCATGTGACCATTACTAACTGTCAATTTTTAACTGAATAAATGTAACTCATTTAAAATTTTGCTTCTTGTAGCTTATAAAGCTCTAGAATTTTTTGAATTGCTTGATGTCACACTTATCAGACAGCTCCAGCGTGAAGAGCTCTCTTACCATTTCCACAAATGTATCATCAGAGGCACTTTCCCTCTCCAGACAAATGACTTGTGAAAAGTTGCTTGATGTCAATCTTCTCTTCTCTCCCCTACCCAGATGAATGACTTGTGAGATGTTTGGTAAAAAACGCATACTGTATTTTTCTTGTCTACCCTCTGTATCTCTTCATAAATTGATGGCCCACTCTTAATGTGTAGAGACCTTTGATTTGTGTGTTTACATTGCTGTCTTGAAATTACACAGCTTGTTTGAACGTGCACAGCTTGCGACTACTTTTGTATCTTCATGCATACAGACTGTGGTCTGTCAAAATGATTGAGCAGCACTGCAGACTATAGTCATGGGCAAGGGAAAGTTTATACTTGGCCCTTTCTCAGCTTCTGGCATAGTCAAAACCGCCTTCTTTTACCTCCCCTTTCTAGGTTATTGCTTCTGCTGGTGAATTTTCAAACAATAGTGTTTTTAAAGAAGTGTACAGGTGCTCTGAAATGCAGGCTCTGCCCCTGAAGAAGGAAGCAAAGACTTCACTTGGCTAAGAGCACAACCCAGTTAGAGCATGTAGTGATGCTTTGTAAGAGCTGTGTGATAACCAGTTAGGGTGCTCACATCCATTCTTACTCATCCTTTTGCACTGATCAGAGGTGTGAATGTCAATAATTTAATAATCTGGAATTTTGAAATTAAACGTTCAAGGAAAGTCTGGAAGTCCTAATTGAAGCTGAATATCTGTAGAAAAGTAGGTTTAGATGTTTTTACAGTCTGCAGTTCCTTTCTTTCAGTAGTACCCTACTACATGCCAGGGTGAAGATGGTGATCTTTTTTGCCTTTGGGAATTAAGTAATACTTGTACAGGCTGTATACTGGTTTTAGATGCCATAAACACCTTACACATCAGGACTCTTAAACAGAATTTGCTATCAAAGTTGTGTAGTTTATAACTATTACACCCAGCAGTGATAAGAGTGATAGCAAGTAGGAAGCAAGATCATCAGTTTTCTTAAAACTGAACTTTGGAAATATTTTTCCATAACCTTATCAAGAATTTTAATTATAACTGCTGCCACACATGAAGCAATGTTGTTCAGTGACATTTTGCTGTTGTGCAAGCTCAGAAATCAGAACTACACTTACAGGAGAATACAAGTGTGAAGCAGCTGTAAAGATTAGAAAGTCAAAGGTTGGTTAGCTCAACGCTTCTGCGTCTCAAACATTAGTGATACAAATTCCAGATGATGTCAGCTATTAGAAGAGAGCGTATTACTGTTACACCTATTTAGCACTTACATTTTCCCTTAGGAATGAGATTTAAATCATCCAGAATACATACCTGTAGTACCTACTACATATAGACAGGTGCAACCATTATGAGAGCAGTACAGGTTAAATTTAACCTGTATCTACGTTGGCAAAAGTCTGTAGCTGTAACTTAGTAAGAGTTTTGACTTCGACTGTGGTTTACTACCACAATTAATAAAGGCAAGGTAATGATCCCAAGTCATTATGGAAAAGCAAATGCCATTGCATAAGTTTCAGGGACATAGGACTAATTAAGGATAACTTGTTACCTTAGGATGAAATGGATTGGGGTGAAACTGCACGATGCTCTTCCTTCAGGCCTGAGTGTTGGTTTTTTTTTTAAATATATTAAACTCTGGGACTAGCCCATAGGCTCAACTAATCATCCCTTCTAGAAACAAGGTGTTGCAAGACCACTGCTGTGAATAAAAGCACCAACCAGACTGCAGGCTCCTGCACAGTCTGTCCTGAGCTGGTGGTGCGATCAAAGCGAGCGGGAGCTTGTACAGCAGCAGCATGCTGTTTACAGAACTGGGTGAATACAGTCACTCCTTAACTAACTTCCAGGTTTCCCAGACTGGTAGCTAACTAACTGCTATGCTGTATTTCAGAGAGCAAGTCCTAGCACTAGCCTAGAATATACATACCTGTTAAAGCTGCTTTAAGAACAGGCTTGCTTTTCAGTGCTGTGAACTGTACCTGTACTTTGGTTCACTATGTTTTTGAAAACTTTGCACTGGCAGGATATAGCGTTATCTTAATCTTTGCTTACTGCACTTTGCCATTTAAAATGTAATGAGACAGCCTTTACCTAAAAATTTGTAAATAAATTATGCACCTTTAAAGCTAACAGCAGCCTCATTTTAAGCATCTTAGCTGATATGAACGTTCTTCATCCCAACAGAACAGCGCATCATCACTTGTACAGCCAAGTTTGCTTCTGTTACTCAAGCCTGCATGGCAATGAGTTCTAGGTGGAGTGCACTTTAAGGCTTCATTTGTGTGCACACGCTGCTTTACACGTTTCTGCTTTAGAAGCTCCTTTGAACTCACCGGGCTGAAAATTACTTCCGTAATGACACTTACTTGCAAGACAGATGGGAAATTTGTGTTAGACGGTCGCATGTTTTCCATGTGGCAGGCGCAGAGATTTGCAAAGCCTTCCCTTCAACACTTAAATATTCACTTGCTATATTTAACATTCTGCAGCTATAAAGGAACAAGAAATTGCATAGTGTGATAATTAAAACTTCAGCTAGTTAGTTAGTTACCTTAAGTGTTTGTTTCATATTCTAATATGCAAGAGAAAACACTTTTAAAAGAGAACATGATCATTTAAGCTTTTTCTAGATGGTGTTCATGAAAAAGCTTAGGGCCTTAGCTGGCTAATAAAACCACTGGCTCCTTTCCCCAAAAGTGCTATCTCTTAATGCCTCAGGACATGATAAGCCCACGTGTGACACACTAGCCCACCAGTACAGCATCAGGCCTGCCCTGCAGCCTCGAACCACATGTTGTATTTAACTTAACAGAAGATTTTTTGCAATTCTCAGCCCTGCCAATGGCAGAGTGACCTGATCAGCTTAAACACACTAAAACAGACCCACACTGGGCACTTTTGAATATTTTTCATATGTTCCCCTACTTTTTTTGTTTGTTTGTTTGACTCATCAGAAAGTAAATCAATCCAGACCATTTTAAAACCAATTACTGACCATATTTATTTGTACAAGTGAAATGAAGCTGATGTGTGTGTTGTTTTAGTAACCTCAGGAGTTCTCTTATCCTTCCTTAAGCGTCGTCCCCCCCACCCCCTTAAGGGTTTGGCTACCATTTTATAGCTGGAGTATTGCTATAAACATTAAATCTTGACCCTCTCCCTATCCAGCCCGTTCAGCTTTTTTTGTTTTAACTCTGGTTTAACGCTCCTATCAGTCAGTAAATAGTTTGTCCTGTCAAAATCTTGGAAGATAGATAGCAAGCCAATGCTGCGGCTAGACGTGGAATAGACAAAATAATCTAGTCTCACAAGCCTGGCTCCTCTAAGGTGCAACTCATTGAGGCTCTTGAAAGGAGGAAAAAAATTAAACAAAGGTGCACCAATGAGCCTACTGTACAGTTCGTTCAACCAGCTGTACATGCCACGTGGTTCCTCCTGAATCTAGCTTTTGGAATAGGGAGAAGTCAAGAGAGATTAAGTAAGCAGACTAAAACAAAATCAATAACTAACTTCTTCCAAAATACAGGGGGTGAGGAGGGGGCAAATTAGAGCTGACGCAGATTCATTAAGAAGAAAACTTCAGCCTCTCAAGCACCAGAACATTAGCTCAGGTCCCCGAGTCTGAATTCAGAAAGCATCAAGAGTTACTGCAGCATCAGCCCATCTCCCTTCTTTTGCCCACCATGTACTTCCCTGAACTGTTTCAGCTACAGCAAGCAGATTTACTTCAGTTACCAGTACACAGTGATCAGTAAACCAGTTACCAGTAACATACTTCTTCAGGTAAGACCCCCTATTTTCAGTATCTTTTCATTAAAGAAAAAGCCTTATTAAAATTTAGGAGTTTCTGATGCAGAGTTCCTCTGAAGGCTAAGCCACCTTTCCTCATGCAATCTGTCTATAGATAGTTCAGCACAGCCCAGTGCTGCCCGCTTCTTTGGTGCCAATGCAGCATCGAGGAGGAAATGAAGAAAGCTGCTAAAATCCCTAACAACTGAACGGGCCAACATTCAAGAGAGATGGCTGGTGTCTGACAAGTGCTTCGAGGCTGTGTGAAAGGACACTGTCCACTAGATGTAGGGCAGCAAACAGTGCTGCTAAAAATACATCATTAGAGTCCTTGGTCATCAAAAGACTTCAATTACATCATGACTAGGCTAGACTAGACCAGACCCTTTAAATTTTGAAAGATTCCAACAGAGTTGAACTGCTATGATTTGTAGGAACTACTAAAGTGCCTGCTAAAACTTTTGCTAAAATTTCAGGGCCTAGATAGCTAATTTTATAATAGATAAACAAGATTATAGGTCTTCAAGGATTTAAGTTTTTAAACACAAACACTGATTTAAGACCAGCATTCAAACTAAATTCCTATCTTCCTGGCCATAATTAGACATCAAATACATTGCCGTGACTGCTCAAAAGTAGTAGTTGGCATCACGGTAAAGTCTGCAATAGTAGCAGTGTAGATTTGTTCTGCACCTTCACATTTACCACTACCAACAACATATTATATAGTTTCATTTTTGATATTAAAACAATTACGATCATCAAAAGACACCTTTAAGTAAGTACTGCATATAACGTTTAGAAAATGTCTACACTGGAATTTGGCCAATTGGTTTGGCTCTTTTTTTTTTTTTTTTTTTTTTTTTTTGGGAGCAGGGAATTTTAGAGGAACAAACTGCAGCCTGCAGCACCACGGTGACTTTACCCAGGACACGTCCTTCTGAACACACTGTAATCCAGCAGCAGCACTTTTGGTTATACAACACCGCAGTAGTCCAGTAAGCACTTAGAAGTTAAGGCCTGTCCCTACCTCGGGTTCCCTGTTCCTTCCCTGCTTTAACATGACCTCTGCTACAAATCCCCTCCGAGTCAGGATTTAGGCACACTCCAGTAACAGTGTTTCTAAGCTGTGGGAAAGAACAGGACACAGTTATTGGCTACATTGTTGGGTTTAAAACAAAACAAAAAACATTGCATCATCCAGGGTTTTACTGCAGTCCTGCCAAGCAGCTCCCTTCCTTCAGGTCCAGACATGAATGTTGAGACCTGGAGCCTGAAATTATTTCACACTAGTGTGTCTTGAAAGGTATGGAGCTGCCGCAGTCTTGCAGTTTAGAGAAATCTGGCATTAAGGGGTGTTTCTTGGCAGAGAAATTCAAGAGAAGGACTAGGGAATGGTCTGTTCTTGGGCTTTAAATTGAGCAGTCTAATTTGTAACCCTCCATCTTACATTAGCTTCAATAAGGCAAATTACATAATATTAAAACCCTATCTTCTACTTTACAAGTAATACATGCGTTTCCTCTGCTATTCAAATCTTTGTTAAAAGATTTTAGTTAAAGTTAAAATCTTAGCGGGTTGCCCAAGCTATTAATTCAGAACCCAGGTCCTCACTGAACAGCAGAGGAAAAGCATGTATTTCAGTAACCCATATAACCTAAGTTGTCAACTTGCTATCAGTTCATAAAGCCTTTATAATTGGTGTTTATAACAATACCTGAAACAAGTTTAGCAAACTTTCATCACCTTAAGTATAAATCATTATTTTAGCCTGTATGAAAGGAATTATGAGAATAATCAAAAACAATACTGAAAATAACTCAAATGGAGACACTATGCTTTATTAATACTCCTCCAGATTACATCTCTATTTCTAAAAGGAAAATATGAACACATCTAAGTCTAAGAATTCCATTATTGCTCAATCCTGGGAATGGACCACTTTACTTTCCAAATACTTCACTGTTTTCAAATAAAAAAAATAAAAAAGAGAGAGAGAGAGAGAGTCAAATAATATTAGCTCCAGACAGACTGCCTATTGAACACCGTTGTTAATCACCGCACATCAATTTCCTGATAAAAATCCCTGATGGAGAAGTTTGCCCTCTAATTTAAATGTATAAAATTCTCCGTTGGTGGCGCAACCGCTCAGCGGTATAGGAACCACTCCTAGGTTTCTTGTTGCTTAGATTATCCAGCCTTGGATGCATCCTGGTTCTGAAGAACTTGGAGGTGAGAGTCAGAAGTTTTCTACTTAACACTTTCTGTTGAGCAACATGGAACAAAACAGGGCCTCTTCAGAGAGGGCTGTTTACTCAGCCGTAAGAATAAGCGCTTGAGGAAACAGGAAAGGTAGCCATGTGTAACAGAGGAAGAAAACAGGAAGCTTCAATATTTATGAATGTAGATCCTCAAAACTGAGCCAGATTCAGCAAATAAGAAAACTCCTCAAATCTCACCAAGGGAGCAGGTACCACAGAATACACAAACCAGACAATGAGCAGATCTCCACTGCAGAAACTGTCCATAAACGTGTCAATCCCTCAAACCATTTGCTATAAAAAGTACAGTGTCTCATCTTCAGTGCTTGTTTAACTATAATCCTGTACATTATATACAAGAAGGCACAAGGATAGCTGCTTAGCGCTTCCAATCCTTGTTCTTTTGCAATGATGGAAAAAAAAAAAATTTAAAAACCAGAGTCTGGACTTATAAATAGTGCAGAAAATGCAAATGCTAAGAAGACAATGCCTCCTATGATTGTCACTGAAAAAGAAAAACATAAATCAACAAAAAATTAGATACTGAGCAAATTAAATATATTTCATTATACATTACAGAGTTCCATCTTAATCATGTCTGATTCCCAAACAACTGTACTTTCAATTTTACATCGCAAACACTGGATGTTATTTCTAGCTCAAACAGTGTAAGGATTTCAGTGTAATGCTACTGTCTAACTGTACTTACAAGAATATATTTTGGTCTTAGAAGGAAGCTTACTTTTACTTGTATTAATTTAGCTAGTATAAAACCGGGGCTAATTCTTGCCATGGAATATTTGGCTGTATGGGTGTAAATAAGATTATAACATTCTCATGCTGGAGCAACTCGTCAGTTAAAGGGACATACTAGTTAGCATTTGTTGCACAGTTTAAAGTAGCTGAAGTATTGAAAACACCAGGAGTGTCAACTGTTTGCAGAGGTGCAAGCTGCCAAAAGGTGGGACAGTATTCTGGGAAAGTATCACTGTATTTGCCCCATTCTTATGCTATTCTCTAAATAACCTAAGGGCTAGATGGATCTTTGGTCTGACCCAATAAGGAGATTTCTATGGCCAAAGAACCATGCTGGGCTTATTAGTAGCATTTGATTCCTTAAATCACAGTAAATCGAGTAAACTGTCAGGTTTAATTACGGCTGAACTCCTGGCCTTTTCTCGGTAAGAGCAACACAAAGCAGCAACGCACACTGAGGCTGGGCAGCTGCTCAGCACCCTGCCTTGCAGGAGACGCAAGCAGCCCTATGAAAAGTACAAAGTAACCCCTAGTTAATGACTGGGGGGGGGTAATGACGGGGGGGGGGGGTTGGGCACAGCAAGGAGGAAAAAAACCACAAACTGAAAAACCCAACTGAATTTACAAAAGATTCAAGAGACACTCCAACTTTTAAGCTCCTTCCTATACTTCTAGTATTGAAATCACCATATTTAACTGCTCCCAAGCATGTAGTCATTTACATCACAGGCATTACTAGCATTAATATTTTTTGGGTAGAAATGAATTTTCACTTACCAGTCCTAACAGAAATTTTCTGTGCTATCATTCTCCCTCCGATAACTGCTAAACCCGTGCACAGGCAATGCCCCACTGTTCCCCCTACTGCCACACCATAGGGATCCTGAGAAAAAACACAGGAGTGAAACATCAGCACAGTTGAAAACCTGTTCGTCTTTCAACAGCCTCCTACCATGAAGGAACCAAGATTTCACAGACTGCTGTTACACACTGTCAAGCATGTGGAATGTTCTTTGCTGTTTACTTTGCTCCACTATCAATCACTGCCTTAAAGAACAGTAACAGCGTACCTCAGCTAGCGAGAGGGACTATGCATCTTACTAGCACAGGAACATATGGCATGTTTCAACCAAGAAGCATCTTCAAGTGGTTTATAAATATAGATTCAGAAATCACTCTGCTGTATTTAAACAATTATACAGCCTCGAAAGGGAAGGTGGTAGCTGTTGAGAAACAAAAGCATGCATCAGTTGGAAGAATACCAACCTAATTATTAAGGGGAAAAAAAAAAACAAAAAACGAACAACAACAAAGAAAGAACTGCAAATGCAAAGTTTCAGTAGCCAAGACATTCCAGCTCCTCTGTTCAGCGTCACAGGCTCGTGTTCTACCCAAAATATCAACCAAAGATGGAAGTATGAAAGAAAGAATTTAGTCCCAGAAGAGAATAAACTGCTTTCAAAATTTATTATCAACAACAGCTTTTGCATCATTACATAAAGAATTTCTAATCAATACATTAATAAATCTATTTAAACAAGTTTCTCACATGTCCTTATAAATTATGTAGTTTGGGGCAGCATACATATTAAATGCCTCATAAAAAACAGAGAACCTCGGCACTAGAAACAGAAAACAAATTTCTAAAGAAAGATGAAGAAAGTAAGGTAAAAAGAGCACTTTTCTGTTCTACAGAGATAACCTAGGGAAAGTGGAGTCCCCTGCAAATCTCTCCTTCAGAAAATTAAGTGAGATTTTTGCCTCGGGAGTAAAAGCTGCTGCTTTCACATGAGGAATGCATGAAGTCTCTAAAAGCCAAACAGAAATTTTATTTAGGAAGTGATCTGATCCCAAGCAGACATGGACAAAACTGCCTGATCAAGACAACCAAAACTACAAGACAGCGAGGAAAGCTAGCAAGCATGACGGAAAACAACTGACGATCTAAGCAGCCTATGCCTGGAGCAAGCTGATGGTGTACGACAGCAGTCATTCCAAGTGAAGGGGAAAAAGAGAGAGAGCAGAAGAGTTGTACCTAGCAGAATACATTCACCTCCAGAATCTGGAACAGAATCAAGTATTCCTGGACCTCCTCACTTATCCGCTGTCAGTAATTATATGTAAAGCCCACAGGCAAAAAGTGCATCTCCCCCCTCCCCCCCGCCAATCCCTTAATGTTGTCCCTGGAAGACAACAACTTATGACTGCTTGCGTTAGCGTGTATCTTCCGTAGGAACAGCGCCCTGATACAGCCAAGACAAAGTCAGTCTAATATGACATGATGGAATTTCTTTTCCCTTTTCCTTCTCAAAGACTTTGACAAATGAACAGTTCTTATACACAAGAAACTATTAAAGAAGCCAAATCAAGTTCTCAAGGAGTGCTGTCAGGATGAAGTTCATTAAGACAGATTTAATTTGTTCCCCTTGTATATGCACCAAGACAGTTAAATTATCACCCTTTTTTCTCCAAAGGAGCCCTGTTTCATCCACTGTGATGGATGGATGGATACTACTCACTTAATGAGCAGCCATATAGTATTTTGTTTTCTCTTCACTGAAGAACGGTCCATATGGTCAGTGATTTACTACGCTATTCAAATCAGAATAAAAAGATAATTTCTTTCCTCGTAGCATTTCTGCAATATTCCGGATAGGTATCTTAGTACTTCACAAACAAGAATTTACCTGAATAAATTATGAAACAAAGGAGTACAAATTAATCTCATAGATAAGATGAAAAAAGATCCAAATCAAAATCATTCATTGATTTTGAAAGCCAAGACAGACGCTTTTTTATTCCCCCAGTGCTGAGCATGTATATGTTAAAAGCATAGCACCCATTGTCTTTAGTTGCAACACGCAACATTTTACAAATCAGACTCCAGGGTCTGATGGACACCTTTTGATGGGACACGCGGAAAATGCAGAGCAGAAGTCAACAACTACCCGTGAAAAGATGGACATAAGCAACTTGCCTAGCACCACGTAAAAACTCTGGCAAAGGCAGCAATATTTCCTAATTTTCCAAGATGGCATTTAAGTGCCTGAACAATGAGATCATTCTCTCTCTTTCCGCTGCTCCCAGCCTCATTCACTCTAAGCACCTTCCCTATTTTGTAATAAAGGGCAAGAGGTTCCTACGGATTATAGTCTCTTTCATTATGCAGCACTGATTTATTCCTATAGAAGGTCTACAAGTACGCCAAGAGAAGCATGAGTCCTAGGGAAAAAAATGTAAATTATCTCAACGCATGCAAAGAGTGCAGGCAGACTCCTCCTGTTTACTGAAAGGGTGACCATTGGCTTTAATTTTCCTTTAACTGTATTACAGTTGCATGCATTCCAATCATCTCGCCGAGTAAGAAGACTACGTCCTTTGTCTTTCTCCTCCTCCTTACTTTTCAGATGAGGGTGATCATTTCACTTACAGCATTACCCCAAAGCAGTTTGGAATTTATTTTAGTTCTATACACTGCAACAAACGTATTTACATTTTTTAAAAGAGCTACCTTTAATAGTAAAGTTTGTTAAGATGAAGGTCTTTTTCAAAGACCTTCAGTGTGTTAACTGTATCTACCTCACGCCATAAAGGAAAAGAGGTTCTATAACATCTCTTAAAACTGTAACAAAGAACAACTGTATTCAACTGTATGATATAGAACAACTATTTTCAGAAACTTTAAGTGCAGTCCTAATCATGTAACAATAGTTTAAATAATATACAGAATCTCAGTGCATTTATTTTCAGGTCTCAGTGCAGCTGTAACATTAACTAAGGCAAAGCAAAGCGGTAGGTGTGAATCTGATACTTCAAACAAGGGTATTTTGTCTCTCTGGCTTATCTGCAACCCAAGGAGGGCAAAAGAGCAGCGGGCATTCTGAAACACTCACCTCTCTTGCTGCCAAGACTATGGTTGTTAACTGGGAACGATCACCCCATTCTGCTAAAAACGTTAGAGTGAAAGCCTGAACAAAGATTGGAGAAATAAAGTGTAGCCATTTCTTCTGAGGTATAGTCGTGCCTGGCCCTGTTTCCACATCTCCCGGCCCATTTAAGAGTTTAGTTCTCTGAAGCTAGAGAGGACAAGCAAAAAAATAGAAAAAATACCATAAGATTAGAAATGTCACCTAAACAACCCAAAGCAAATACTTCAAGTGCAAAGCTAGTCATTTAACACCTGAAATGTTATAAGCCTCCATGCTTCATTATCCATATACTGTTTATATTAGACGGCATGTCAGAAGACTAGCTACATATTCTATTTGTAATCACCTCTAGCCGCCAGTTACTGTCCATCTTAAAGCTTGTATTTACACAGTTTCAGC